CTGAATGTCACCGCACCAGAGACCATAACAAAGACGCAGCCGCCGCGATCGTAGAGCCGAGCCAATAAAAAGCAAACTGATATTACAATTTTGATTTCCCTGGAGGGCCGAGGGGGCTTAATGTAAGAATTATTATCCATTGTGAACAGCAGCCGAAAGAAAGCACAGACAGGAAGATTTAAATTTTTTTTTTAACTTAGTGGTTTTCCTAAGAAACGGACATTCATTGAAATTTATGCCAGCGGAGTTTGTTAACCCTCCCCTTTGACATTTCAAGCTTCTCCTGTTGCCAGAGGAGACAAGCCGAGCACAAACCACTAACGCTTGCAATAAAACTAAATGCCCAGGGACGAGCACGATTTGGTGCAATTCCCCTCCAATCTGGGTAAGCTGCAGAGTGCATCCAGCCCGCGGAGCCGCGGTGGCTCCGGGCCCAGCCTGGCCGGGAAGGCTCCGCGCTTCCCAGGACACAGCCAGGAAGGGGAGATAAGGAGGGCAGGGGCTGACTGGCTGCATATATATATAGATATATACAAAATATATATATATTTTGAAACATGTGACCAGCCATCCTTGGCATCTCCACAGGACCTGTCTCGGGAGCTGTACGAGAGGCCATTGATGAAATAACAAAAAAAAAAAAAAAAAAAAAAAGGGAAAGCAACCCTGCAAACCAGTATTAAAAGCATTTTAATCATTGCCTGCCTCACGGCTCCCACAGCTCAGCACCAGCTCCCGTCCTGTAGGTTTCTGCAGGATGTTCATCTGCTTGCTGTTACCGGGCTGATTGCACATGATTCGCAGTAATGATTGTAATGGTGGTGATTTTCTATCTCTTACCTTGCTCAGATAGCAGCAGTTTGTGAACTGATACGCCTTTCCCTTTGTCAATGCGAAAGAGGACACCTTATTTGAACCACATAAAATTTCCTAAATAAGGAAAGCAGGAAACGTGTCCAACTGCTGCCTCTTCTTGACTGGTTGGGGCATATCACAGGGATGAGAGAAGAAAAAGGGTTTCCAACCGAAAGAAACGGGAGCCAAGTGCTGCCTTTTAAAGCCAGGAGAGCAGTTGTTCAGTACCGTGCATTTCGTTTAGGATTTGCCTGTTCGCAGGGCAGGTCCGAGATGCGCAGACGCGTGCTGTGGGCATCCTT